AAGCCTATCTAAAAGTTGAGCAGCACTCTGTACATGGACAGCTGGATCAGCGGACAGCTTGCATGAAGCATTAAATATCTGGCTAAAGAATATAACTAAATCTCCCCGTACAACCTGTAGAGCAGAAGAAGGAATTTCATGTCCACTGTTATTCAAGAAAACAAGAAATGATAACAAAAAAAATACTCTACTTTCACCTTTGCAATGTTATATAGAGCTTCACAAGCATAATAACGAACTCCGCTATCTTGGTCAGAAAAATAACTAAGCACCGGTGGCACAAAGATTGCATCAAAAGCAAATTAATCACCAAATTATAACAAAAGTCCATCCTATGCAATGCATATTTCTTTGCAAATTAACAAAGTTGTATGGAGCATGCTTGTGGATGGTAAATCATTTGCTGAGATCGAAATAAATGACATGGTGAGTTCATGAAGAATAATATGCTAAGAACTATCAATTTATATCTTCCTTCATCTCTTAACGAGGTTGTATTTCCAAATACATTTGTTGCCCTGAACTAACAGTGATTAGGATAAGTGTAGTCAAGCCATGTGCTTAGGCACAAAGGCACAGAGCTAACCCCTCCCTCCCAGATATGTAAACTATCAATTTATCTGTAAACTCACTATGAAAAAGCTTGAATAAAGGAGCTGCAGAAGTATTATATAGAGCATGACGCATTTAATAGCCATTTGATGCATGAAAAATCAACAAAGACGAAACCTATTCAAATTCGCACCTTTACAACCCTAACAAATGTGATAAATAAACTGTAGTTTTTAATACGAGACTGGACGAATAATTAAAACATGCCAATAAACAAAACTCTGCATGAAAAAGTAATGCGAAAAGTACATGAAAACTAATAACGTGAGAAATAACATTAATACAATGCGAATCCCGAAACTGTAATGCTTATGTAAAAGTTGTCAGTGAAAGGAGCCGACATTGTTTCATATTATTAGAAATGAACTCCATCCGCATAATTTGCATTGGGTTTATACTGTAAAAGCATACGTGTTGGAAGCAACTTGAATATCTCTTTCGTTTGCCAAACTATTAAGTGAGGTAAATGAGCTGCCAAGAAAGAAAAATTATCTGGATATCAATGTTCTTCCAACAAACAGACAAAACAGAAACATGCTACAATGAATGCAGAGAAAGAACATCACCTTTGGCCAAACAAACGGTGAAAGATATTCCTTCGCCAAACTATTAGTGAGGTCAACAAGCTGCTGGAGAAATAACAATAACCATCAACAAACTATAGAGGTTAACATATTATGAATGACAAATGACCGCAGTAAAACAAATTTCCGCTTGACAGGAAAACACTTGAAGGGATAATTCTGAATCCGAAAGGCACTAGGATCTTAAGGAGACTTAAGGAAAATGACCCGAAGTGCTTTAAAATAATCTTGATATCGAGTTCTTCCAACAAATACCCAAAAAGCAAAACATGCTACAATTTATGCAGAGAAGAAAACACTATGCAATTTAAAAGCAGTCATAATTAAAATGAAATTGATAGCAAGGAATCTGACGTGCTCTTTGTACAGGAGCAGCACCACGGTACAATGGCAGTAGACTTGGGTGTATGTTGACTGTTCCTGAGAAGACAGAATGATGCATTACAACTTCAGAATTAAGATAGCATACCCTTTATCCTTAGTAAGACCATTGTTCTTAATACCAAAAGAGTTTGCAAATGCAAATATTATCCATTCTATTTCTCCTATTGGGTAACTATGCACAGCTGATACCTATAGGCTCGTAGGTAATTAGAACACGCTCGTAGGTACAATGAGACCATGGGCATCGTAGTGAACACGTTTCTTGAACTGGAGCCCCATGCCATTGACTCGCTCTCCTTTAGTGGGTTTCCTCCAGTTTATCCAGTCTGTCCAATTCTTAATATTGCTGGACCTGCTTAATGGAAATCGGAGGGTTCGTGTCTCACTGTGGGTGGAATTCCATATTGGACAGCATATGGCATGGTGTTCCTATCGCGACATGACCAGTATATGCGGAGCAACAAATAAATGCATTTGAGTTAGTGAAAGAGCTAGGATTGAGTGTGGAGATCAGGTTGGATTATAGGGATGACTGTGATTTGTTGGCGTCCGACGAGTTTGAAAGAGTGCTGAGGCGTTTGATGGACGATGAAGATGAAGTGAAGGCAATGGCAAAGGAAATGAAGATCAAGAATAGGATGGCACTGATGGAAAATGGTTCCTCATATAAATCTATAGAATCTTTAATTCAGGAAATCAACAATAGAATACAAGGTTTCAACTGAAATACTGAACAATTTAGTTCCATATTACGAAAATCGCTGAGTGCGAAGGAGAAGAGAGACATACCTGTTGTTGACCGGAAACAAGCAACGGCGGCGTGACGCTACGCTTCTGATGATGGTTGCCCGGGGGTGACTTCACTGTGATTGATGGGCGTTGGAGCACAAAATTAGGAAATTCTGAATGAAACAATTAGGGATTTGGAACTAGATGGGTTAAAGGATTGGATAATCACGACTGTTTATAATACAAACGCTACTAAGGTACATGACTATTGCGGCATTTATTACAAAAAAAAAGCCACTAAATTACACGATTATTGTAGCATTTATTATAAAAACGCCACTAAAGTACAAGTCTATAGACAAACGCCGCTAAAAATGCTGCTATACACCAAATATCACTTTTATTTTAAGTATATCATATTTTGGTCAGCCATTGTGAAAAAATACATTTTACTCATTGCGGCGTTTGTATAAAAACGCCGCTAAAGTACTATTCTATTGCGGCATTTATTTAAAAAACACCATTATAGATGAACCCTATTACGGCTTTTGTATAGAAATGTCACTAAATTACTACTCTATTGTGGCGTTTGTTAAAAAATGTCACTATATACTAACCCCATTACAACATTTGTATAACAATGCCGCTAAAGTACTACTCTGTTTGTGACGTTTATTGAAAACGCCACTATAGATTAACCTTATTATGACGTTTGTATAAAAACACTACTAAATTTACCATTTTGTGCCGTTTGGAATGGAAACTCCGCTATATATTTAAAGTTAGTGGCGTTTACTCTCAAAACGCTGCTAAAAACGCAGTTGTAGAACAATTTTGATGTAGTGATCTAACCCATATAACACAATTCAAGTTCAAAACATATTATCCACTTCTTCCACGAAATTCCTTGAAAGAGTATTTTTTAACAATGATTGTCAATTGGATTTAATCTTGTCCGAACTTGGATTTAGTTTTCACATCGATAAGGAATTCATAGGTGCCAACTTTACTCACAATTGTATCACCACGAGCAAATATTATATCCAACACCATCTCAATCAGCAATGACAATATTATTTATTTCGTTGTTAATCCATGTGACAAATTGAACTCTCTTATTCTTAAATTCATTATACTTGCAAAATTAAATGCTTTTCTACTTTCTAAAATTATTATACTCACGATTGTTTTGTTCAACACGAAATCTTCTACTTGAATCAATCAAGAAATTAAATTTTCACAGTAACACTGTCATTTGACAGAGAGGAGAGAGAAACAAATGTATCATCTAAAATTATTAAACCTTACATAATATAAAACTTCACAATCTTTTTTTATCGTTCCATTACAATAAAAGAGTCCTTTTTAATTTTTATAGATCCACATTCATTGAAAATTTGTACCCTTTTGAATCCAAAGTACCTAATGAAAATCAATTTCCTTCTCTAGTTTTGTCCGTCTCGAATTTAGTGTTGAGATATAACAACAAAATTTTATAATTCAAAGATGCTATTATCAATATCGAAACAAATATAACATTTAAATTTAATATAATATTTATAATGTCGTGATACTAATTAGTTTTAATTTAAACAACTCTCTTATCATATATAATATACATACATATTTTTTTCATATTCTTTTTAGCTAGTGTAACTAAGATTAGTAATGTTATTTAACAAATCAAATATCATCTAAAATTTTATAATATATTTAAAATGTTATTTTTTTAAAGAATATATTTTTAGGGCAAAATATTGATGATGGGATAAAAGAGTCAAGTAATTGGTGAAAAGAAAGAATTTATGGATAATATTGTCGGATGACCTAATTGATAAATGCAAAGTTGAAGGACTATATTGTAAAAAGGGATATTTATTTTCAAAAAGAGGAGCTAAATCAATGTAAGTAATGCATAGTAGTTGAGAAGCATGTGATTCAAATTTAATAAAAAAATGAACTTAAAACGAATGAGGAAGTGAAAAAACAAGAAAATTATGATCAAATAGTAAAAAGTTCAAATTACTTAACTAAGGATCAAAACAACATTATTTTAAGTTTTTAGTTTTCCGGTTATTAGAACTTTAAAGATTCAAAATTTGAACAAAAAATTTAAACTTAACTCGAACTCAAAATTCGAACAGAAAATTTAAATGTAACTCGAACTCAAGCCATTATATAAAAGTTTTAAGTTGAATTGAATAACCTAAAATTTGAAAAAGTTAAAAATTTCCTATTCTAGTCAAATTTTGATCATCGTTATAATTGCACTCCTTTTTCTTTATTTTTGTTTTATTTGGAAAAACCTCAATTGCCTTTAACAAGTCCAAGGCAACACCATCAAGTCGAGTCAAAAGCAATTCTTTAGTAGACAAAGAGTGGAATGATAGGGTATTGAGCTTGTTCTCATGTGGAGAGAATCAACCTCCATGTGCAGATGCCCAATTCTACCAATCGCCATTGTCACAAATGTATTTCACATTATACAAATCCTTTTTATACTTCTTTCCTTTGATGCCTTCTTTTTTAATAATAAAAGCTTTTTATACTTCTTTTTTCTCAACTTTCTGTCTCACAAATCATTCCCCTTTTGATAATAAAGCTTAGATACTGAGCAATAATTTGTGCCACAACTTTCCCTCCCACTATAATCATATATCATGGTTAAAAGTTTGGGGATTTTGCTAACAAAACACAATTAATTTGCCTTTCTTTGCCCATTTCTCATTTCTTGCACAACAGCAAATAGAACAAGATTGTAATACAAAGCCTAGTGACGTGTTTCTCTTTACTTTCTGATACAAGGGTTTGAATAGGCAGTTAGCAAAGCACCACTGCTTTCTTCCTCATCTAATCCATTGAATGAAATCTCTGTAATTTCACTTGAACTTGGTGAAGTAGGCTGAGGTGGACCAAACATAGATCTGTCTTCCACTGTCAAATCAATACAATTTGGCATCTTCTTCACTGCTTGTTTTTTAGCTTTACTTTTCCTATGAAACACTCGAAAAACTGACCAATCTCCAACCAATTCCGTCTGCAGATATGGAAAAATTCATACATAAATAATGATTCTAATGAAAAACAACTCTGATAATTGCAAGTTAGTACATTTGTAGATTATGTTCACCTGAGTTGAATTTGGATCAAAAGTTGCCAGGGAGCGGACGAGGCGATACTGATGCAAGAACCATCGAGTGTTGGTGTTATTAGAACGTTTCCTTTGACAGAAAACCAAAGCTTTTTTCAAACCAACAACTTGATTGGTTCCAGACGCTAGAATTGATTTCTCTTTGCCTATGGGCTTCCAGTAGCCACACCCAGCAACTCTCTTGCGTTTCTTGTTGCTTTCATCGCCATATCTGCTGCTAAAGAAATACCTCTTTTCATTCAACTCACCTGAAAGTGAAAACCCACAAATATTAACACACTTTATAAATCAAACTTCAACATATATCGTTAATGGAAACTGACCTGGCAAGCTCCAAGGATCAGTTTGGAGAACGTCCAAGTCAGAAATGATGGAAGCAGGTAAGGGTAAACTCAAGGCCTTTCTCTTCAAGTAATGAACCACGAGCTCTTCATCTGTAGGGTGGAATCTGAAGCCAATTGGCATCTTGATCCCTCCATTTACAACAAAGTTTTGAGTTCCCATGCTGATTAACAATCAAGCGAAGCAAACCATGTGGATTTGGAGAGAGAATAAAGCACAAGGCAAAGGGAAGACTTTTGTGGCTTTTCTTTTATGGGGGTTTGCAGGGAGAAAGAAGATGTGGGGATTGCATTTATATGGATAGAGTAGTTGAACGCAATTAGGAATTGACATAATAACAAAATTACCCTTACCCTCAACATTTGCATATATAATCATTTTGATCTTTAATTTTTTTTAACATTTTAATCTTTAATGTTTTATTTTTTACTCAAAATATTATATGTTAAAAGAAAATCGTTAATTAACTAACGGTCATCATATATTATTAGCATAATATTTTGATATGTACTTAATTACTAGTGTAATATATATCACATCATCCAAATACAGGGTCGACCCAGGACATGTGTCACATGGGCCTGGGCACAAGGCATCATATTTGAGGGGCATCATTCTAATATTTTGTCTTCCCAGTTATTACCTCTTTTGCTTCTACCAGACACGACAACGCCCATTTTGCTTGTAAAATTGAATCCGAGATTGAGTTGTTTCTAGTTTCCGGTTGTTCGAGATCCTTCGCACTATTCTCTGATTTACTTCGTGTTTGGATGCGTTTATGCTTTTCCGGTTCTCCCAGGTCAGCTTTCTATAATTTATGTAGTGAGACAAATTTTTTCGGTCTACCTGGTTGATCTATCCAGTCCTCTTCGAAATTCCCTCCTTTGTCTACTATATAATTCCCATTATTTATGGATTTTAAAGATATTACGGGTTTTGTTGAATTGATTAGATACCTTATTGTATGATCGGGATTTTTTTTATATGAGTTTTGTTTAAATCAGGGGTTTATTTTTAAATGTTCAATATAAATTTCCTGTTTGGTCTTATTGTCTTAGCATTGAATTGAAGCGATTAGGTGTTTCTTTTTAGTTGTCCTTGTTGATTTTGATATTAATGAATTTTTGGCACTCCATTATCAAAATACTTTAAAGGAATCTGGAATGTGCCTCAATATTTTTTACTTTGGGCCTGTTTGTCCAAAGAATCATGTTCGCTTTGAAGATTTTGGAAATTGTATTAGTTTGTTCTTGCCTAATGGTTTTAAGTTAGCCATTTGGTTCGATCGGGTGGGGCTTAAACCAGTTCTTGTTTTTGGAAAATGAAATGCAGTAGTCCGTATACCATTTGATTTTATTTTTTGAAACGAGGCTTGACTAGTGAGTGCAGAATTTTAACATGCAACAAATTATAGTTATGGAACCCAATTATTGTTCAACCAACCGGACCCAAAGATTAAACGGATTAGATTGAACGGATAAGCAATTCTAAGCATCGAAAGTCAATTTTTACAGTCTTGATTATCGTAAAATAATAGAGGTTTTTGCTTCAAAAAATACACGAAGGCATCATTTTAGGTGATATTTGTAGCATTGTAGGCTTTGGTTTGTATTAACATTGATATTGTTTGACGATAATTTTTATTACATTTTTGTTTTAAAATAATTTATATTTTGTCTATTATACGTTACAAGTATAGGGGCATAAAATTATTATCTCGCCCATGACATTAAAACTCATTGGACCAGCCCTGTCCAAATAGATGATATAACATGTGTTGTGTAACCTAAATGATAATGTGACAAGTTTCACATCACTAATATAATAATATGACATATTTCACATCATTCAAGATGATGATATGTCATATTCTACATCACTTAAAGTGATAATGTGATAGGGTATTGTTAATAATTAATCACGTGTGAAAATATTACATCAATAATTTGTGTTGACCGTTAGTTAATTAACAATTTCCTTCTAGCATTGTATATGATAAAAAAATGAAACATTAAATTAAAATACTCCAAAAAAAATAATAAAAAGCTGAAATGGTTATTTATACAGATATTATGGAGTAATTTTGGTATTATGCCATTGGGCAATAGCTAAATTTGAAACGACTCCTCTAAATTCTCTGACCGGGGAAGTCGGGACTCCTTCGTTGACTAAAACATCGGATTGGCCATTGCTTTGTGTTGACGGGTCGTTTCTCTTACATAAACAAACGTGTAGGAAAACTTCCAACGTTTTACTGTTTTTGGTCAACGACATTTTCTTCCGTACAGTGAGCCCCACGTGTTCCACGTTGTCGCTGATTTTCAACTCCCCACTTATTCCATCATTTCCATGAACCTTAAAACGATCGAACGGTCCGAAATAATTTTTCGATAATACATGCTCTCTATCATTATTCTTCTCGTTGTACGAACTTCCATAAAACTAAAATAAGGTTCAGTACATAAGAATTTTACTCAAATAATATCATGAAAAAGTATTTATTAAATCAGATCCATTTTTAATTAATTTTTAAAGTAATGAACACTTGGTTCCCACCTATAATGAACATTACATTGATATATGGCATGTGATTATGCCTCTGATATATTTTGAAATAGTTGAGTGGCATCCGAATTAGGGATGTAAAAGCATGTAATCGTTCATGTTTCAGTCGTATCTTGTCAGTTCGGATAAAATCGGATACAAGTCAAGTCATGTAAATTTGATGTTTTGAATCGGATCAGGTCAGGTCCGGTCAAATCAGGTCGGGTCATTTTTAGGTTGATTTGACACCAAGTACAGTTCGGGTTACTTTCAGTTCGAATCGATGTCAGTTCAGGTCCGGAGCAGATAAAGACCAGGTTAATTCAGGTTCAGATCGACTTCAGGTGGATCTCGTTCAGATCGGGTGAAATCATTGGCAGATAAAATTCAGGTCGGATCTTTATCAGATACAAATTGAGTTCAAATCGGGTCAATTTTTATTTTCGTCTTTCATGAACGTTTAATTGAATTTGTAATTGTATATGATTTAGAGTAAATTACTAAGAATATAAATAATCATAGATCAATTTTATGGAAAATATAAAATTAAGGACTAAATTGAACAATTATTAAATTACAAGTAAAAATTTAAATAAATTAAACAACATGCATTGATGAGGGACCAAATCAAAATAATTTTAAAATGTGAGGTTGAAATTAATATAAAATTACTAAATTATACCTATTTAAAAAGTTATGGGCCAATTAAAAATATAAATAAGTAATAAGTATGGGTTAATTTTAGATGCAAATATAATTTTAAGGACTAAATTGAACAAATATGAAGTTACAAATAAAAATTTAAATAAATTAAACAACACAAAGGGATCAAATCAAAATAATTATAAAATGTGAAGAAAATTTGTAAAATAGACTAAAGTATATTAGTAACTATAAAAGTATTTTAATAAAAATTTGTTAAATATAGTTTAAATATAAAGTATATAAGTGTCTATAAAAACTATAAATTATATATATATATATATATAATATAAAGTATAAGTATGTTATATATATAAAGTATAATTATAAGACTAAAGTATATAAGCATATAATATAAAGTATATAAGTATATAATATAAAATATAAAAGTATTAAATATAAAGTATATACATGTATATAATAATATAAAGTATATAAGTATTAAAATATAAAGTATAATTATAAAGACTAAAGTATATTAGTATATAATAAAAAGTATTTAAGTATATAAAGTATATATAAATATTCTTTATAAAGACTATATATTATATTATATATATACATAAAGAATATAAACTATATATACATATAATATATATATATATATATATATATATATATATATATAAAGTATAATTATAAAGACTAAAAAATATAAGCATATAATATAAAGTATATAAGTATATAATATAAAATATAAAACTATTAAATATAAAGTATATATATGTATATAATAATATAAAGTATATAAGTATTAAATATAAAGTATAATTATAAAGACTAAAGTATATAAGTATATAATAAAAAGTATATATACATATAAAGTATAAGTATGTATATATATATAAACTATATAGTTTATATTTATATTATTATATACTATATATAAACAATATATATATTATGTATAAACTATACATACCATGTATAAACTATAGTGTTTATATATGAACTATTGAATTATATATAAACTGTATAGTTTATTAATATAAATTATATAGTTTATATATAAATTATATATGAATTATATTTAGATATATACAGCTTATATTTATATATTATGTATAATTATAAATTATATATTTTCAATATATAAACTATAAATTATATATATATATATACATATATAAATAATATATAAGTATATTATATATATAAAGTATAATTATAAAGAATAAAGTATATAAGTATATAATATAAAGTATATAAGTATATTAAGTATATAATATGAATATAAAGTATAAATGTATATATATATAAAGTATAAGTATAAAATATATATACATATATAATAATATAAAGTATAAGTATATTATATATATATATATAAATTATAATTATAAAGACAAAAGTATATAAGCATGTAATATAAAGTATATAAGTATATAATATAAAATATATAAGTATTATATGTAAAGTATATATATATATGTATGTATGTATATTGTAACACCCTCAGACCGATACGGGTGACCCGATCCGATCCGAGGTGTCACATTAGAGCCACCAGAGCGACCCACAATTAAAATCTGGGAAAATTTAAACTTTTTGTTAAAACGCCTAAAATCATAAAACAATTTATAAATACAAAATAAAATTTAACAATATTCATAAATAAAACAAATTTCAGACTCAGATATAAAAACACAATACAATCTACATGCCCCCTAATCACATGCACCATACTCTACAAGCAACGTCGTGAAACTCCTTTACTGATGTCAGTAGCTGCACCGATTTGATTATTTTAACTTGAAATGGTGAGTAAAAGAGTGAGCTTTGGGAAGCTCACTAATACATAACTACCAAGTGAAGCTAAAGGACATGCAGATAAAAAGGAACATCATAAGTTTTCCTTATTGACTCAACCGTCTACAAATTTTCATAATAAGCTGAGGTTCCACTGATATTTCATCGAGTAAAAGCCATAAAGATTTCAGTTCATAGGAAACATTTAGAGTACTAAGTTTTTAGGAAATTAGAAAAGGAT